GCCTTCTTTGCCTCCTCCACAACCAATTTTACCTCATCATTGCTAGGAAGGTCAAATTTCGAGGCATATGGCTCCGAATGAGAAATAACTTTGCCAGATATTGCATTTATTGCTTGTTCAATAGTGGCTTGGAGGGAATCCGGAAGAGGTAGGTATGTGATCGAATTGATTCCTTGTAACATGGTACCAACTTATACCTTATACTTGTCTTTCTATGCTATACGGTTAGCAGTTATTCTCTTTATATAAAAAAATTATTTGACAGGCACCTTTCTAGTTAATTAAGTGAGTTAAACTGACTATTAAAAATTTCATAATAGCAAACATGGCTGGATCCTCTTATTTGTGTTTTATCTTAAACTAAATAAATATCACTGCCTCGATAAAAGGAAAGATGAGACAAATAACAATCTCATTACCCCACTGCAGGATGGAGGGGCAAACGGAACGGTATGTCATTGGCTAATTAATAGCTTTCTTCCAGACGTCACGAGACACTTATTAATAGGTTAGTTATGTTAATACCAAGTCCGTCCCCTAACTAACTCTTCCGTGCCCCACAAAGCTGAGGTATCTTGTTGAATGTCCTGCAAATACACTTATCCTTCATATGATTCCTTCAATTTTTCATGTTTATATTATTTAATGGGAATGTGCTTCTCAGAAGCTCTTACCTAGAAAGGCAGCAACTTGTTCACAAAGATTCGCCGTGGGAGTCCTACTAATTAACAACCCAGCTGCTTTACTTTCTCCCAATTATCTTTTTCCATAAATCCCCAATGACTAGTACTACAGTAATGACTTAATATCAAATCTACTATATCAAGTCGCCGAAATCGGACGTGTAGGCATCGTTCTGCGGTATCCTTATATATGATTTGTATTAACTAAGGGGACCAATCATCTTGGAAACGAAGCCCGAATACGAAGTTGTGAGAAAGGCCGTTATAAGAATTCCCGTTCTCTAAAGCGGCTGGTAGGAATTACTGGATGGGGCAAACCATACGGAGGGGCTGTTGGTTTAGTGGTATAATACCCCCTTAGCATGGGGGTGGTCCAGGGTTCGATTCCCTGACAGTCCAATTTCCTTTTTGCATCTCCTCCGTACCCCGGGAACGGCCATTCTGCTATCTCGACTGTGCGATACTCATGGTAGCGTTGGCGTTGAGGTGGTGTCTTTTTTGCTGGTCGATATATTCCGTACTACCTTAAGGCTGTTACGCTGCCAGTCACCCCCCAACGGCTTCTCCGGTCAGGGAATGACCGCGGTTGCATCTTGGCCATGTCAAGCGCATTCGCAGCACAGCCCTGTCAGATACATAATACTAGAGTACATCGAAAGAAAAGTCTTCCGCTACACACCATCTCTTTCGCTGCCAACAGGTCGCGCAGCTCGAGCCCTTCCGGCAGTGCCGTCTTTTCCCTTCTGAACAAGCCACTCCCACCACAAGGACCACACAAAGGCCAAAGACGCTGGGGACATGTCATATTGCCGTGCACACTGATTGTACCGTGAACAGGTCAGGACATACGCATCCCATGTGCCTGATCCTGTCGCCTATTTTCTCCGTTACCCCTAGTTGATTATTTGCGGAGATATGTTGGGCTCGTCGACGTGCTGCTCAGCCATCCTCATCCTTCTCTGCGATCCCTCCTTCGCGTGTAAATCCAGGACCAGAGACAGGATGGCTTGTCGCTCCATCGAGCCGTAAGTAGCTCTAAAAGGGGAGAGAGAAAGGATGAGACTGTGCGAAAGCGCCGCCTGCGCCAACCAGTTAATATTAATCAAACAAGGGCTCACCTCTGATGGGTAATAAGCTGGTGGGCTAACTGTTCAGCAACTCCTCTTTGAAGGGGGCTGATAACTACAGATAACTAGCAACAAATGCAACAGTCTGGATTATCGCTATCTTGCGCCAAGTGCGTACACACTGTCGGCTGAGGATGCTCCTTTTACATCCCTCCGCAACGTTTGTGTTTCGGTCAAATCCGCCCCCTGGAGACGATCACATCTTAGCCTGCAACAGCAGCCACTGAGCTGTGACCAGGCGCCTACTGCTACAACTCCCGCAGGTAGCATTCGCCACAAAAGCGCAGACAAAAGTCGTCTTCGGCCGGAAAGAAACTGCCGACCAGGGGATATAATAATATAACTTGTCCAGTCTTCTGCCAGTTACTCCGTCCTGAAAAGTTATACATCCCATTCTCGTCTTGAGAATTAATTCCCATTCCCATACCAACTCCACCACAGTCGAGAACGCCCTCTGCTTCAGACAACTAACTAGCTAGTGCAAATCCGTATCGCCTTCTCTTTTTTGGCATCATAATACGGGGCTGGCTACTATTTTTGTCCCTTGAAGAAAAGATTGCCACAAGAAAATTCCTGAAAGGGGCAAACTTGTTTCCTGAGATCTATAACTTGGTCTTCCTTTCTTATTTTATTTATATCGTCGGTCCCGGTGGTTGTCTTTACTCTTCTCGAAAATACCCCCTTTCTCAAAGTCTGCGCATACTCAAAAGGAGAATTCTCCAAAACCTCCATTCCCCAGATGTCGACAGAAACTCTATACGCTCGATCCTGGGGTGAAGCACGGATAAAATCCCAGTCTCTCAATATCTACACACACGACATAAGGGCAGCTAGCGATATAGCACTAAGCGAGACAAAACCAACGACACTCAACTCGAAGCAACGAATGGGATTCTGGTCAAAGTTCAAGCGCTCCAAGAGCCAGAATATAAACAACTATCACACCAAACCAGACGCATTACCCCAGCGAGCAAAGTCAGACGCCAATCTAGTATGGTGTCCCGAACAGAAGATATGGCTATTCGCGCGCCAGTCAGCCAACAACTCATCCCTTTCTCCTCAAACACAACGACACAATTCACAGCAAAAGCCTACAGCTACCACAAGGCTTCCACCGCCAGCCGAGTACGGTGAAGAAGAACTCCTTTTTGCCCAGCTGCCTGGCCACTATTGCCTGGGTATTTACACCGAGACCAACAACGAACCCGTCAGCCCGTGTGAGCCGGATTACTTCGACTTCTCGGGACAAAAGGCGCTGCAGACAAGTCGATGGATGTCGGTTGCTCAGCGAGTTGGGCCAGGAAACGCCATGAGCTGAATAGGACGGCCCGGGAACATAGATGCACGATGCTCATTTACTAGCCGGCTCGCTGTGTATGCATAGCTTGACCTAGTTGATAGGGTACGCCTCTATCACTCCGGGCCAGCGCCGTCCAGGCCACATAATATAGCTTCCACCATTAATGGAGATGCATCACTTGTGAATTACTTTGTTGTCGATCTGCATACCACTTCTTCTCGCAGGCCGAGAGTAAGAAATTTGTTTTCAATGGGACATTCACAAAAGGGTCAAGGATATCTACTAGGATAGCATGGTGCATACACGGTCATCAAAGGGAAAAGCCATTAATATCTTATCCCCTCGTATTGAGGAATAGGATGATACCAGAAGATTGTATACTACCAAGAAGCATTGCACGGATGGGAAAAACCATAGCATTTCGATACTAATAATAATAATGAATCATTACCACATATAATGATCAATATTCACAACTCACCCGCCTCTTCGTACCGTACAAGGTCACACATACCAAAATATCCCACCCCTATGCCGACGAAAGAAGTTACATCACTCAATGGCATTGAACGTAAATGTGCTCTGGAGCTCGTACCCGGATCTTGTACGATGTTCTCGTACATTGCCCTCGTACCACTAAGTGGCTAGTTATCTCCATTATTCCAGGCCCGAATACGTACCTTGCAAGTTAAGCGCGGGACGCATGACGACCCCTGTGGGACCAGCTAACGACAGATATCACGATACGAAATATACTCTATATGGAGTACAAGAGCAGAAGTTGCAGAGTCACATGAACACAGTATACTCCATGGTATCATTAATATGTTGCTGTGAATGAAACTTCACGCCCTTCGTCCATTCCAGGGAATTAAAGGGTAATTGAAATTTTCATGTGACGGGAAGGAATCTTCTCGTTGAAGTAAACAGCTACAGACTGCTTTGCCTACCTCTTACGGAAAATACCCGATATGTGTCCGCAGAGGTGAGAGAAGTGGATATATAACACCACCAGCTGCAGGACTTTGAAAAGGAGTGCAACAGTTCACTAGGCGGTAGTCAATGGGAGAAGTTGGGATTAGGTTCCAGCTCTGTGGTACAGATATGCTTAATTCCTGCCTTCTCCTTTGGGAAGTCGGATTAGAGCCGCTGCACCTTATTCGAACGTCACCTTTCAACAGCAACGCGAGAGTCAGAGACTAGCCATAGCCGACGCAATGATATTAAGTCAAAGCAAATGATCGAAAAAATTCAGATATAGCAATTTTTATTCTCTTGATAAAAATAAAAATATAACAAAGTATCAACAAAGCATGAGGGTCCTCTTAGTCTATGAGCCAGGAAATAGAATAAAAACAATGATGATGACGACCAGCAAATGCCACGCATCTAAAAAGAAGACACCAAGATAATAATCAAGAATGGTAAAAGGGCGAAGAAAAGAGCAACAAAGAGGGGGAATAGGGGATATCGTCTTTGCTTGATCTGGCCTTCACACTGCAGAAAATCCCGTGGTAAAGCAGGACATGAAAATGCGAGAAGAGAAATTGAAAGGGCAGAGAAACGGGGATCGGGGAGCAAAAAATGGTACATAAGACCGAGGATGGGCCCAAGGTTGGTTGATGGCGTAAAAGGGGCTCGGGAAGGATAGATCGCTCAGATGAGAAGGCAAGCAGGTAACTGACTTTTTGTTCTTTCTCTTTTTCTTTCCTTGATGCAGAATGGAAAAATAGTTGGGAATAATAGGCAAGGATTAAGATGGACGAAAAAGTTATTTGGTCATTAGATCGGGGGAAGGGGGGAATATGATATGATATGGGACAAGGGTCGACGTGTAGTATAAAGGGATGTCATATCTGTTTAAAATGTTCGTCTGCCGGGTTTCCTCTCTTACCATCCATGGGAATGGAAGGGGTTGCCTCCTGCGCTTTGGAAGCCAGCTCCATTATTCATCATGTTGAACAAGACACTGGGGTCAATGTGGATGTTCTGTCCTCCCATACCACCCATGCCACCCATGCCGCCCATGCCGCCCATGCCAAAGCCACCATGAGCAAAAGGATTTGAAGGATCTATTAGGTCTTCTCCATTATCATAAGATTGTCGCTTCCTGTTTCACAGATGAGTGGTTAGCTGCTATTACATAATAATATAGGGGGAAAGCAGAAAAGGATACGTACTGAGGGTCACTCAAGGTCTCGTAGGCCTCTCCAATTTCTTTGAATAGGGTATCGTCGCTGCTATCTCCATTGATATTCTTGTCAGGATGGTGTTGAATAGCTAGCTTGCGGTACGCCTTTTTGATTTCGGTTTCGGTAGCATTCTTCGATACACCGAGGATCTTGTAGTAGTCCTTGCGCTGACTCTTCTTAAGCTCCCACTCTGCGTTTCGGATTTCTTCTTGGATGCCCTTTTCGTTTGGACTGCTCTCTGCAATATCCTTCAGTTCCTTGAGGGCTTCATCCCAGTTACCGGCTCCTCCATTTGCTTTTGCTCGAACTCTTCTGGCTTTGATGTAGCTTGGGTCGAACTCTAGGGCACTGGTGCAGTCTTTGATGGCCTTGTCGTACTCGTTGATATTTATATGTGCCTGAGCACGGTTTTGGAGAAGCTTCGAGTTGATGTCCTTGTTGTTGGGGTCAACCTCGAGGCCCTTGGTGTATAAATCAATTGCTTCTCTGTACTTGCGAGCTTTGAATGCGGCGTTTCCTTCATCCTTGATCCGCAGGAGCTTCTGTACCATTCGAAGAAATTTGATAATTTGAGAGGAGTCCGGATCCAAGCTGAGAGCTCGTTTTAAGTGCTTGAGTGCCTGGTCGTTGTCACCCTGAAGGTAGAACAGTCGGCCACGCAAGAAGACGGCATCTGGGTCCTGGTTGTTATCGCGGAGTAGGGACATGGCAATGTTCTGCGCCTCGCCCAAAGCGTTAATGTTACCCATCTTCAGGAATGCCTCTACCCGCATTAGCAACCAGCTGCGCGGCTGCTGTACCCCGTTGCCAAGTCCCCTCACAGCCTGGTCCAAACAGTACAAAACCATGGAGCCACCCTTCTCTCCTCGAAGGGTTTCCTCAGCCTGGGAGACATTCCTGAGCATAGCTTCCGCAGGTGCGGTATCCTTTGCTGACGCTGGAGGTCGAATTTTTGAATATACCTGGAGAGCCTCTGCCGGACGACCGAGGGCCGTGTATATTCTCGCCAACCTGTGCATAATCTTCGGGTTGCCTGGTTCCAGCTCGTCTGCACGTTTGGCATCATCCAGCGCCTCCGAGTATCGGTTTGCAGATATATACGCAGCTGCTCGGTTGGACAGATATGTGGACGAAGAGGGAGACGCCTCGACAGCTATGATATGTTAATTATGATCCAGGACAGAGAAAGACCAAAATAAAAAAGTATATATATAAAAAAGAAGGGGGTAAAAAAAAAAAAATATCAAGAGAGGTGAGTCCCCACCTTTGGTATATTCCTGGATAGCCCTATAGAATTCACCAGCTTTGAAGAATTTATTCCCCGCAAGCTTGTGTGTCTCCGGATCAACTGGTGGAGGAGGTGGAGAGGTGTGAGGAGGGGGAGTCGGACTCCTTTCAGAGTCCTGCGGGTGGTTACCGGTACCGTTGACCTCGGGCTTCAACGGCGTGGTGCCGGTTGCTGAGAAAGGAGACGGGCCAGACGGTGAAGAAGGGCCGTCTCTGTCGATATCCATGGAGCTGCGCAGGGTATCATCCCGCTCTGCTGCTGCTGCGGCGGCTGCCATGTTTGCTGAGAGTCTACGGAGCTCGTCCGGGGGAAGATTCAACGGATGTGAGTTGGGATCAAGGGCAAACCGGCCTCCACTGCTGACTTTCTTTGACAGCTTTGACTTGAGTCCGGGCGATGCTGCGGCGGCGGCGGTGGCGGCGGTAGCAGCAGCGATATTAGGAGTAGTGGACGGGCTCAGTTCTCGCCTGGACCTGGCAGACGCAGCTCCGGCTGCTGGTCCTCCTGCTGCTGCGGGAGCGGTGGTAGAGTGCCGGGGGGCGGGCCTGCTTCTCGACGCAGAGGCGGAGGCCGCACGCGGCGAGGAAGTCGGGGACGAGGGAGTCGACGAAGGGTGCGGCCTGGTGCTGAGCCGACGGTGAGGCCCCTTGGTCGGGCTGCTCTGGGCCGAAGACGACTGCGGCGGCGGCGGCGGCGGAGGGCCAAAGGGATCAGAGAGCTCGGGGGTCTCTCGACTGTAGGCGGGCGGTTGGTCGAGCGAGGTGCTCTGGGGACGCTCGGCGGTGTCGGTCTTGCGACGGGGCAGCGAGGTCGTCGTCGACGGCGAGGGAGCGTCTGCTGTCTGGTCCGCGATCGAGGATGCGGACGGCGAGGCCTTGTGTTTCTTCTTGTCGACGGGTTTTGGTGACTTGAAGAATTTTGGGAGGACCATTGGAGGAGTTTTTTTAATTTTTTTTTTTTTTTTTTTTTTTTCGTTTTCCTTTTTGGTTGTTAACCGGTAAAAAAGTTGTAGGGAAA